AAATTCTTCTCCCAAAACATCTTTCTCCAGAATAAAATGGAAATGGAAGCCCAAAAGCTTACCAAACATAGCCAATATTATTGTCAGGGACAGTAATATTATGAATATTATGTTTCCGAACAGTAATATTACTAATATTACTGTCCCAAATAGTAATATTATTGCATGAGACAGTAATATTACGGTCGGAGACAGTAATATTATGGTCGGAGACAGTAATATTACAGTCGAAGACAATAAAAATGCAGGCGAATACGATAAAATTAATTAATACAGTAATATTACTGTCTCAGACAGTTAAATTGTTATTGGAGACAGTAATTTAGCAGCCAAGACAATAATATTAATTAAAATAATTTTTTTTTAAGAAAAAACAAAATTTCGAAAAAAAAAAGTCAATTAACATTTAAATTAGTGTCTCCGACAGTTAAATAACTACTGGAGAAAGTAATTTAGCAGCCAAGACAGTAATATTAATTAAAATGTTTTTCTTAAGAAAAAAAAAATTCAATTAACAGTTAAATTACTGTCTCTGACAGTTAAATATCTACTGGAGACAGTAATTTAGCATCCAAGACAGTAATATTAATTAAAAAAAATGATCAATTAACAGTTAAATTACTGTCTCCGACAGTTAAATAACTGTTGGACACAATAATTTAGCAATCAAAACAGTAATTTAACTGTTAAATAACTGTTGGACACAATAATTTAGCAATCAAAACAGTAATATTAATTAAATATTTTTTGTAAGAAAAAACAAAATTATAAAAAAAAAGGAGACCCGACAGTCAACGGCGGTTGACCTACTGTAAAAAATATTCAGAAAAAAAAAAAGTTTTCAAAAAAAAAAGAAAAAAAAAAGTCAACGTCAGAGACCGGCGGTCAACAGCGGCTGACCGGCGGTCTCCGGTGGTGGTGGGTCAAAATTGGGGTCAAAATTGAAATTAGGGTGAAAATTGGTTAATTGGTGAAATTTGGCTAAATTGGAGTGTAAATCATGAAATTGGAGTTGAATTGGGTTTCAATGAATTGAGGGTAATTTTGGTATATATACAAGGATTTTCCTTATTTGCAAATAAGTTTGAATGAGCTGGATTTATTTGAAAGAAAAAAAAGTTGGATGTCCCTCTTTTAATTAATTGTCCTTGTCATGGGCTTATTTGCCATTTGCCTTACAATATAAAACGATGCCCAAATGAAGATTGTTATGAACTGACAAAATATTATTTTTGTTAAATAATATTTGAAGATTGTTACAAACTTGACAAAATAGTATCTTGTTAAATAAATTTTAAATTATATAACTAAAAGTGAGCTTCTAATTTATCGTTCCAACAAGTATTATGAAAATTTATGTGAGGCCATTACGAACTTATTTGAAACTATGTTTTTTTTTTCAATGCTTGTAAAGATCCTCTAATTTGAAGTAAGTGACCCTAATACCTTCAAGGTTTTCTGCTTTCAGCTTTGATACTTATGTCCAGCCTAGCACTGAGGATCGTAATTGGAATGCCTTGCATGCTTGGTCTTTTGATCTATAAATTTCGAAGAAGGCATTTGTCAATGTTCGACGTAATTGAAGGCTTCCTGCAAAGTAACACAAATCTCAAAACAATCCGCTATACATACTCAGATATGAAGAAAATCACAAAAGGCTTTCGAGAAAAACTAGGCCAAGGAGGCTACGGCTCTGTTTACAAAGGAAAACTTCGAAGCGGCCATGATGTAGCGGTCAAAGTACTTGCCAAGCCTAGCTCAAATGGGCAAGATTTCATCAATGAAGTAGCCACAATTGGAAGGATCCATCATGTTAATGTGGTTAAACTTGTCGGGTATTGTGCAGAAAGATCTAAACGCGCCCTTGTCTACGACTTCATGCCTAATGGTTCGCTCGAGAAGTACATATTTAATAAGGAAAAAGGTAATTCACTTACTCTGAAGAGGAAGTACGAGATTGCAATTGGAGTGGCTCGTGGAATTGAGTATTTGCACAGAGGATGCGACATCCAAATCCTGCATTTCGACATAAAGCCTCACAACATACTTCTTGATGAAAATTTCACACCTAAAATCTCCGATTTTGGTCTGGCAAAGTTTTATTCAACTGATAATACTACAATGACTCTCACTGCAGTTAGGGGAACAATAGGCTATGTGGCTCCTGAACTAATAAATAGAAGCATCGGGGGAGTGTCTTACAAGGCCGATGTTTATAGCTTTGGGATGTTGTTGATGGAAATGTTGGGGCTTAACAAAGGGACGGGGCCTAATATTGAAAACAAATCGAGCCAATATTTTCCGTGTTGGATTTACGATCACTTGAATAAAGGCGAAGACATTGAAATTGGAAATGTGTATGATAATAATGATGATGAGGAAAAGGAAGACGATGATGATGGGAGAAAAATGAGGAGAAAGATGACAATAGTTGGATTGTGGTGCATACAGATGAGTCCAACCGATCGCCCGTCAATGAGTGAAGTTTTGAAAATGTTAGAAGGTGAAGATGAAAATATGATGATTCCTCCTCAACCTTCGCAATCATCTGAGATTCCAAGCTATGATGATCGGACTTGGGGAACTGAATCCGAATCAACCGGTTCTGTAGCCTTGCTGCGTAATGATTCTTTAAGTTTTCAATAAAAATGATAAATTAAGATATGGCATTAGTATGGTTGTTGTATTTGCTAATATATTATCTTTGTTATAATCCTTTATTTTTGTATAGCAGAGAATTATATTTCTTCCCCCGTTCTTTTTCTTTTAATTTGATTATATTATATATATATCTACCCTACCTTAAAAGCGCGAATGTTTTATGTTTCTTAACATTTTTGTTATACCCGTTTCACCCTTTGTATTAGTAAGTTTCCCTATGTATTATTGTGGTTAATTTGGTAAAAATATCAATCAGATATTATGTGCTCTCCCATGTATTCTTATTCCAATTGATCGGCCTCTCTTAGACAACATTAATTAGGTTGTAACGCATGGCCATTGATATTTCAATTAATGAATCCAAACAATATACATGCTCCTTCATTTTCCTATTTCAGATTGGTTTCTTTGTTTGTATAATGAGAAAGGTCATCCCCTATATTCTCATGTGTCTGCCATTCAACCCTTGATCACTACGAAGGTAATTTTCACATAATTCCCTCCAATTTCTTTTCTTTATAGTAGTGTGTGCTTTTCTTCATTATTTACGTCACTACATTTAGTTTCCCATCACAGAAGCTCTCAACTCCGACCAACATTTCATTCTTCTTAACTTTGTTCTAATTTAAGTTTTTTTACCACCGAATCATTCCAAATTCAAAGGTTAATTTCCCTTTTTTTTTTTGCCCTGAAAATAATTCATACGTAAATTTCCGAGTTACTGGTTTTTTTTAGTTTTTCTCTTCATTGCTCTTAATTCTCAACTTTGTTCAAAGATATCCTTTTTTTGTGTTGCAGTTGTAATACATTCCCAGTTCCCTGCACATTTCCAGCATCCAGTATACCATCACAGGCGCTCTCAAATTCTTGCGGCTAAAGGTAAAATATAAATTTTCTGTTCTATTTACTTTTTTAATTGATGGATGGTCTTCGCTTTGATGTCCCCTGATTTGTTTTAGGTAGTCATTTATCCCACCATGAAAGAATTTCTGAAAGCATTAGATTATATTCCTTTCGTTACATGAAGCTACAATGTATTATTTTTCATCTATCAATTCTAAAATTGGTTCGAAACGGAAGCGGATATCTACGAAAGTATTACACTCTGTGTTTCTATTTTTGTTTTAATTAATTTTTTTATTTTATTATTATTACGATTTTTTAAACCATATTCGAACACATCAAATTAAAATATGAAATAATTCGTTTTGGACAATCGAACATGGATATATATCGTTTACCTCACTGCAGTCCCTTAATAGTGAGCTTCAATACGTAGATGTTAACTTTTGATTATATGGAGTTTTTGTGCTAAATAGAGGTTCTTTTTAATAACATAAAATAAATATATATATAGGGGTGTTGAATGCAAATATTCCTTAGTCCAAGCTCCTAGATTACCATGAGTGGTTTGATGTGGTTCAAATATCAGTAGAAGAGGATGTATCCTCTGTGACCCAATTAAAAATTTTAAAATCATGAATGTTTAGGATATGGACTACAATTTAATAATGTTAAAAAATTGTTATGATTATGTTTCTTTTTAGCTTAATTGAATATGTAACTGAAGATATATGTAATAAATTTCCCCAGGCATACTTAGTGGTGGAAAGTGTCTTTGCAAATGGTAATGCATCAACAAGATACCCTTACAAATTCAAATGCTACAGGTTGAGTTAATTATTATCCAATTTTTTAAGTTGTGTATTAAAAGTTACTTAGAATCATAAAATTGTTGAGATATTTTTGTATCATAACAGATGTATTACGTCAACGAAGGCGTGATCTTATGAAACGTAAATATGCCGGTCTAAGTAATACGGAGAAGCAAGAATATAAAGAAAAAGTAATGAAACGTAGAACAGAAAAAAATGTACTTAAACCACCTTTGAAGAGGAAGTATAATGCGTACCAAAATTTGTCTCAAGAAGAAAAAAGAAATTACATTGAACATGTTACAGAATCAAGAAGGCAACGACAACTTGGAAGACCTCCCTCAGTTTCGAGCTCAAGCTCAAACGGAGTTATTCCTCCAAATTGTATTACGTCACTTACATGGCTTCTTAGAGCTCAAATGGTTCCCTATGAATCAAAAGGTTAGTTTATCACCAACTATTTTGTGTGAGTGTGTTGTATGTGTGTGTGTGTGTCTATATATATATATATATATATATATATATATATATATATATATATATATATATATATATATATATATATATATGTCATGTTACATTTGAAATTTTATATTATGCCAAAACATTAAATATATACATTTTTCCCCTATAGGTTCACTTTTGTATGATCCACAATGCTCAGATATGCATGAATTGAAAAAAATGCCAGATTGTAGTCATTGTGGTGCTACAAGATTTGAATACGAGCCTCCAACATTTTGTTGCGGAAATGGAAAAATTAAACTTGCACCTATTGAAGTTCCGGATGAATTGTATGATCTATTTACCTCACCATCAGAAGAAGCAATTGAATTTCGAAATAATATCCGTGTCTTCAATTGTATATTCTCTTTTACTTCATTCGGCGTGAAATTAGATAAGGAGCTTGCATCAGCAAGACGTGGGGTATACACTTTTCGAGCACAAGGAATGGTTTATCACGACCTTCCAGGACTAAATCCAAATGAAAATGGCCCTAGCAACTTCCAGCTGTATTTTGTTGATACTGAAAACGAGGTTACTAATCAAATGAATGTACTTCAAACCTCAACTTTATCGGGTGGTACTGTGGAGAAACTTATCCATGTTCTGGAGATTAATCCTTATGCAAAAATCTTCAGAAGATTAAAAGACTATCCTGCAATGGATGAGGTGCAACTTCATATCTCAAAAGATGTTAAATTAGACCAAAGAGTATATAACACTCCCACACCGGATCAAGTTGCAGCTATATGGGTTGAAGGAAACAATGAGAATATGTCGTGTGAACATAACATTGTAGTCCATGCTCATTCAGGTCATAGATACAGAATCAAGCACTATTATGGATGTTATGACCCATTGCAGTATCCACTTCTTTTCCCAAAAGGTGAAACAGGATGGCACCAGAATATTTTTAAAATTAGTACGAACATATCAAGGTCCTCAGGGCGTGGCACTGGGCAGTTGAGGATTGTAGATATTGAGGACATTACACGACAACCACAAGGTACAATCAAATATATACTAACATATATAATATATGTATATAGAGTAAATTGCATTTACTACCTTTGTGAAATTCACAACTGCACAATTTCCCTATGTCATAAAAAATTTAGCAAATACCCCCCTATGCTTACTTTTAGAATGCACATTCGACCCATTTACTTTATTTCCATTGACAAGCTGTGAAAAGATCAAAATACACTAAGTAAGTTTGCTATATTATACGTTGGAAATTTTTTCATTATATTTAATAAAATCTTAATTTTTATTTCTATTTTAAACAAATAAAAACACAAAATATTATTAAATATAAATATATAAAAAGATAAAAAAAATCACCTTCCCTGAACTGTCGTCTTCCCCGCAGCCCACCCACCCCCCCCACCGACCCACCCCACCAAAATCCACAGTTCTTTATCCACCATTTCTTCCCCTCAACCGCTCTTGCTCCGCCACTACTTCCCGCACTTCGTTCACCTTCGACGAAGCGGGATTTTTTCCTCACCTCCGATACATGTCCTTCCACCCGACGCTTCCAACGCCGCAACACCACCTTCTGCAAATCCGCCGCCCACGATCACTCCTATTCAACCACCAACAAACACATACATTACTCAACCCCTCTCTCTGCTCGACCTTCCTAAGTTAATCGCTGCAATTCTTCAGGTCCAGAAATTTTGGAGAGGAAGAAGAGAAGACGAGGAAAGAAATTAGGGGATAGGTTTAGGATTTTAATTAAGTTCTTGAAAATTGCAATTCAACCCCTGCATTTGTTTTAAAAATTCAATTTAGTTCATTACCTTTAAAAATTATATGTTGCAAATAACCATGGGGTAGTTTTGTCCTTTCATAAGCAAAAGGGAAGAAAAAATCGCACACGCGGCGAGTGAGCCGCACGATCAGCTCCAAGGGGGGTTTTCGCATTTGACTAATAAGCATAGGGGGGTATTTGCTAATTTTTTTATGACAGGGGGGAATCGTGCAGTTTCGAATTTCACATGGGTAGTAAATGCAATTAACTCTCTCTCTCTCTCTCTATATATATATATATATATATATATATATATATATATATATATATATATATATATATATATATAGATATATAGATAGAGAGAGAGAGAGTAAATTTCTCTGTCTGGAAAAACCTCGATAAATCTATGTGCTTCTATATCCACCCACAAGCATATGCATACATATATGTCTTCAGAACCACATTCACGTATATTCTCATGAAGC